AGGCATGTGGGGAGGGGTGGGGAAGAAGGCAGAGGGAAGCATCACTTCCGATTTCTTGGGCCCCTCGTGAAGGGAGGGGGTATAGGTCTCTCCAGCTGACTTTTAATGGTGACAGATTTGCATGAGTCTGTCCCTGCCCAACCTACTCACTGTTGCTTGCTGCTGCCACTTCTCTCAGAGCTGAGGCCTTGAGCTCAGGAATGGGAAGGGAAGGCAGTACTGAAGTGAGGTTTCTGAGAAGGCAACCAGGGTGTGGGCCTGGGGGGGGCCCTGTAGGACCCTCCTGCAGCTCTTCTCTCCTCTAACAGCTCGGAGCATGGGCAGCCCTGGTTTTGGACACAGGCCCTGGGGGCGAAGGGCTGGTTCTTTGGGTACAGATGTCAGTGTCTTTGTTTATAGTTTCTCACCACTCACCCCACGTGCTACCCCTGCTAGACAGAAGCAGAGGGGTGTGTGTTGGGGGGACCCAGGCTGGGAAGGAGGGCAGAAAGGGGGTGAAGGAGGGAGGAGGCAGCTGAGAGGGGTCCTCAGGGCTGGGGCTTTCCCATTGAGTCCTTGTCCTTGGAAGCAATGGGTTGGTTGATGGGCTGCCACTGCTCCTCTGTGTCTTCATTCATCATCCCTGTCTCCGAGCTCCCTCCCATATCGGGGTACACAACCACACACATCTTCTGGCTCACCAAGGTTAGCACCTCTGTGGGAAGAGGTGACACAAAAATCAGGTCAGTGCCAAGTGTCCCGTCATGCTCTTCCCTGCACTCCTATCCTGGGTTTTGCCTCAGCAGAGCCACCACTGCCTTCAGGAAATTCCCCCTTCAGGAGATGCCCCTCACCCGCCTCCTGTGTCTCTGGGCAGCCTGTTTCCTGGCTGTCCCTTGCTCGTCAAGGCCCCAGTTTTCCACATCCCCAGGCCCACTAACCACCAATTTCAGGGTATCCACTGGTCTCCACCCAGCCCGGGGCAGCTCCTGCAGGATAGCTATCAAGTTGCCTATTCCTGCAGTTCTAAAGTCTGTGTGGAAATGTCAGCTGTTCTCTCCTCAGAGTTATCTGGGAAGGAAACCTGCCCTTTCCTGTCCCCAGCTCCTTCCTCAAAGCTCTGTGGCCCAGCCTAGACTTCTTGATTCTGGTGAGGTTCCCCTGCCAGACCGCTGACGACTCTACCCCAGACCAGGGTGCCCTCAAGCCCCCAGAACCTTCAACAACTTACTGATGAAGTTATTGAAACACTTGGGCTTGTGTTGCCAGTAAACACCCAGGAAATAGACGGGTACTCCTGTCAGCATGATAGCCAGGCCAATGCCACACACCACGGGCTCCGACCACAGGCTGAAGACCAGCAGGAAGGCCCAGAACAGCAGGTAGATGATGGGGAACAGCAGGTTGATCTGTGGAACAGAGGTGTTGTTAGCTGTGTGGACCCCATGGCCCCAGGATCAGGGCACCCTCCCTGTTCTTCACCCTCAGGGAGCACCTCTGAGTGCAAAGGCTGGGCTTAACTCAGCTCTCAGGCTCCCACACCCTGAACCTTGATAGGGCAAGTGCTGTGTCAACAAATGCTGGTGAACTTGGGCCATGGAACAAGAAGAGGAGGGGGGAATCTAAGGAGGAAACAATCCTCATTGCCCATCTCCTCCCTCCTGGGTGGCATCAAGCAAGGCCTTGTCATCCATGCCATGTGCCTGTGGCAGCCAGTGCAGTCCACGGGAACTAGTAAGCTTGCTGGTACATTGGTATATACTTGTTGATTTGCAGGGTGGAGGAGAGGTGGAGAAATGAATGAGGGCAAGAAGGAAAGGACCTGGGTCACTCAGGCTCCTTGCCCCTCACACACTTCTAGGCAGGGCCCTTGGGCACATGGCAAATGGCCATCCCTCTCACCAGAATCCATCCCAAATTGTTTCTCTCAAGAAATTTGAGAAAACCAATCTGCCAAGACCCAAGAAATCAGGAAACCTAACATAGTATAAGGCAGCCTGAGGCCTTGACTTTCTTCAGAAAGAAGCACCTCTCTCTGGGCTTCATCCCTTCTTGTTAACCACAGGTGGAAGTTCCCAGTAGAGTCTTCGTCAAGCCTCTAGATTCAACAGCCTTTCTCTTCCTTGCCCTGTCCTCCCAGGGATAATGCATGTGGTGGGGAGATGGGCTTCTACCTCTTCTTCCCTCTAGCAGGCTTTCTAAGAGTGGAAGGAAAGTGGCAGTGGAAAACAGATTTGGAGAGCCCTTGATTTCTCATCTGGAAGAATCTTCTAGAGGCATCTCGTCTCCCTTTGTTTCCAAAATAGAATTGTTCAAATAATGCAGGGTTATACTCTATTCTTCTAATTTGCAGGAAAACCAACAGCACACTTTTATATTTTGTTCTGGGCAATCCTGTCATTCCCATCACAAAGTTATTTCTTGTAACAATAGGTTCACTGGATGCCCTGCTACCTGTGGGGCCATGGTAGTTTAAAAAGGGAGGTTCACTCATGGATGGCTGGAGTGAACTAGGAATCTTCAAAGAAGAGGAGGTGCTTGAAGCTTATGTGGAAAATGGTTAGAATTTGGATAGGCAGATGGGAGGAGGAAACTCATTCTGGGATAGAAACACAGCACAAGTGGATCCAGCTATCTGGAGGGTCAAGGAGGAGACTGGCCAGACTAGAGAGTCCAGGGAAATGTTGGAGAGTTAAGGGAGCCTTAAACAATCAGCTGGAGTTTAAGACAGAGTCATAGGAAGCAAAGGAATGAGTGATGAAATTATCACTTAATCTAACTGATCTTTCCAGCTGCAATTTGCTCTGGTCCTATCCACAACAGAGAATGGAAAGAAATGGCTGCCCCATTCACATGGCCCTTGCTTCCCAAAGGGTCTGTTACCATTATAGAGATGATCTGTGGTCAGCAGCTGAGAGCAAGGTGATTGAAAAATCCGTGCTGCAGCTAGAACCAATAGAGAAGGAGGGGCCCCCACGGGGAGGTTTTCACACCTTGATGGGGCGGGGGATGTCAGGCTTCTTCCAGCGAAGAACTATCTGTCCAGCAATTGTGACCCCGTAGAAGAGGTAGTTGATGAAACCCACATAGTTGATGAGTGTGTATATGTCACCGGTGACCAGCATCAGCAGGGTGGAGATGCACTAGGGGGAGTAGGAGAAGCACGTCAGTGATCGGAAAGGTATCTGGAGACTTGAGCTGTTTACAGGTCAGGACTGTGCCCCTGCTTCAGGCAGATGCTGCCATTTCATAAAGGATGTCTCAAAATGGAAATTTTAGCCTTGGCCGGTGTGGCTTAGTGGTTAGAGCATTGGCCTGTGCACCTAAGGGTTGTAAGTTCAATTTCCGGTAAAGGGCCCATACCTGGGTTGTGGGTTCACTTCCTGCCCCCAGTTGGGGTGGGTGCCAGAGACAACCAGCTGATGTGTCTCTCTCATATATATATGTATATATATTTTTTAATCCTCACCAGAGGATATTTTTTCCATTGCATTTCAGAGAGAGTGGAAGGAGGAGAAAAAGAGAAACATCAATGTGAGAGAGACACATCGATTGGTTGCCTCACGAGCCCTGACTGGGGCCAGGGATCGAGCATGAAACTGAGGTACGTGCCCTTGGCTGGAATCGAACCTGGGACCCTTCAGTCCCCGGGGCGGTGCTCTAACCACTGAGCAACTAGCTAGGGCTTTCATGTTTCTCTCTCTCTCCCTCTTCCCCTCCCTCTCTCCCTTCCTCCCTTCTACTCTCTCTGAAAAGCAATAGAAAAAATATCCTCAGATGAGCAGGTAAGGATTATTAAAAAAAACTTTTTAAAAGAAAAATTTAAAACCTCTCCTAGAAACCCAGGCCGCTGCTAACACCTCCATTGCCAGGAAGTTCTTTCCAACTGCAGGGGTGATAATCAGAATATTTAATCATTGGTGTGGCATGTGCACTAACCAGTCAGAACAGAATTTGACCGTCAGTAACTGGATTGGCCACACTGGTGGCACCTGGTTCCATGTCTGCCCTAGTCTCATTTATATTTCTTCCTTGGTTGTAGCTCAAATTAATTTCACTTTATCATTTTAGGGAAGATTGTTAACTGCAGATTAAAGCTTTATCTTGCTCTCATTCTCTTCTGTCTGAGTCATTTAATTTATATTTTCCTTCCTTTTAAAATATCATAAACAGTTATAGCATTTGTCAGGTGCCGGGCTCTATTCTTCACATTCTACAAACAGTAATTTGTTTAACCTTCATAACATCCCTGTGAAGTTTTCCTGATAGAACCCACTTTCCAACTTCAACATCATCTCAGTGGCTCTCTTGGAACAATGTTCTTCCCCTCTGCTAATATGTTAAGGTCAACAGAAGGTTCAATTTTCCTGTGAGACCTGATGGTGAAAATAATTGAGAAAATTTTAATGAATAAATAAGTCAGATTCTTACTGTACTTGCCTTGTAGTCATGGAGCTGCACCAGTGGCTCAAACTGAAAAAAGTTTGTAGCCTGCTGGGAGCACTGCACTTTCTCCAGTCACCTTTCACAACTAACCAATCATGATGACCTTCCTGTATCTGAACATTCTGAAATTCCCCCTAATGTTGTACAATGAATGCCCTTGACTTCTGAGAGCTCTACTATCCTGGTCTAACCGCTTCTTTGGTGGTAATTTTCTTTCTTTTCTTTTTTAAAAAAATATATCTTTATTGATTTCAGAGAGAGGAAGGGAGAGGGGGAGAGAAGAGATAGAAACATCAATTAATCAATCAATCGGCTGCCTCCTGCAAGCCCCCCACTGGGGATTGAGCCCGAAACCTGAGCTTCTGCCCTGACTGGGAATCGAACCCTGGATCATAGGTTGATGCTCAACCGCTGAGCCAAGCCAGCAGAGTTCTAGTGGTAATTTTCAATATTTTATTCAGGATCCAGAGGGGAAAAAAAAAAACTTATAAGGTTCAATGGGGACAAATCTTTGTTCCTTCTTTTTGCTCTCTGTAAATGATTCTACTCTGGGGTCATCTTACTCCCACTTTTTCCCCATCCCAAGTTTCCTTTTCTCCATTTTCAGTGTACCAGTCTTCCTTTCTTTATTTTTCTTACGTGGTATACTCTTAACGCTGAATTTATTTCAGTGATATTTCCCAAGAGACTGGCAGGACCTCCTGGGACAAGAAGATCAATGAGGAGGGGTGTGTGGGATGTGGTGATTGGCTGGGGGCAGAGGCCCACAGTGGCAGCCCTGTAGGCAACAGGTGCAGGGGAGAGCCAAGAAAGTAGAAGTTTCTTTGTGAGGTTATAAAATCTTGAGAAAATCACATCATTCTGACCTAAAAGGACAGGAGAATGGAAATGCCCTGGCTGAGAACCTTAAGGTCTTTCAGGACTCCATTTTTTCCTTCCTATATCTCTCTCTTTTTTTTAATCCTCACCTGAGGATATTTTTTCCACTGCTTTTCAGAGAGAGTGGCAGGGAGAGAGAGAACCATCGATTGGCTGCCTCCCATACATGCCTGGACTGACTGGGGCTGAGCCTGCAACCAAGGTATATACCCTTGGCCAGAATCGAACCCAGGACCCTTCAGTCCAAGGGCCGATGCTCTAACCACTGAGCCAAACTGGCTAGGACTCCTTGCTATATCTCTTGATATTAGTAAAGTCTATGCGTACCACTTGCCAGGTTATCCAGGACCCATGAAACCTAAGAGCAGAAGAAGGGTATAGGGGTGTGTGTGTGTAAGTGTGAACTCCCAGCTCAGAGCAAGCGTGAGAGGGAGGGGAGGGTGTATGTAGGACCAGCAGAAGGAGGGGCCCTTACTGTGAAGAGCAAGGCTGGGATGGGTGTGCAACGCTTCACATGGATCATGGCCAACACGCTGGGAAGGTGGCCCTCCCTGGCTCCAGCAAAGAACAGCCTGGCAGAGAGAAAAGTAGGTCAGCCTGGGATGGCCCATGGACTACCAAAGGAGGCTCCCTCCCCAGCCCAGGCTCCCTCATCCATGCCCCCCTTCTGCCCACATAGGAACATCACTCCTCCAAACAGGTACCCACCTTCTCGTGCACACCTTCCAGCCCACTAGTCACAGGACCCATAATCACAAATGCAGACACAGGCAAACCAGAAGCAGCTAGTGGACAAGTGGATGGATACTGGGTGCCGGAGACCCTGAGTGCGGCCTGGATGGCTTGGGGTTACTGATGATTGTGCTGTCACTGTGTGGGTCTCTAAAGCCTGGAGTGCTGCTGCAGGAGCAGCTTCTCTCCTTTGCCTAAGGTCTTAATCCCATAAAAAAATGTGCCTTCCACATCCTCAAAGGATACATGGGGATTGAACTGTACAAGGAAAGCCTTAAAAGCATTCATATCCTAGTAAAAAAGTAGTTGTCTCTGGGGTTGGGAAATGCGTGGTAGACCAGAAAGGGACATGTAGGCACTTGAGGGATATGTGGAAATGTCCCATATCTTGTTGTGGGTGGCGGTTACAAGTCTGTCTACAATTGTTGAAACTCATCAATCTGAATACTTACAGTCCGTGTATTTTGTTGTATGTAAATTGTGCTTAAAAATTTATATCTTTAAGCTACTTATTCTATTCCTCAAATCCATCCTAAGGAAATGAATATAGAGTTAGTGAAAAGTGTATATACAAAGATATCCTGATAATAAAAACATTGGAAATACCCTAAATGCCTAAAAATAGGAAATTGATAACATAAATTATGGTATATCCACAAAGTGGAATATTATGCAGTCATAATAATGTTCTAGAAACAAAACTGATTACATGAGAACATGCTCACAATATAATGGTAAATGAAAAAAAGCAAGATAGAAAACTGATAATTCCATACAGTATGATTCCAAATAATTGAAAAATTATTTATGGGGCATGTAAAAGCATATATTAAAACACTGACTAATTATTTCTAGGTAGTGAGGTTATGAGTAATTTAAATTTTCTTCCTTAGATGTTATAGAAACAATTTTAAAATTCTAAAATAGACAAAAAATTTGCAATCAGAATAAAATTTATTTTTTAACTTTTAAAGCAAGCTTTTTATTTTGAGATAATTATAGATTCACATGCAGTTGTAAGAAATGATATAGAAAGATCCTATGTATCCTTTACCCAGTTTCTCCCATTGGTAACATATTGCAAAACTATAGTACAATATTATGACCAGGATATTGATGTTTAAGAGTTATTTTTTAAAAGGTAAATTTTAACATAATAAGCAGGCCTTCTTCCCCTTGTCTTTCCTGAGAGAAAAGAGAATACTATATACTGTTAGGAATCAGTTACATATTAGTGTGAATTATACCACTTTTTCTTTTGTATAGGATTTTGTAGGGAAAGGAACTCTTGATGGGTGAGAGGAAGGGTATTGTGTGATGGAGACAGAAATGCACAGAATCAGTACACTGGGTGGTCTAAAGAGAACTGTCATTTACTTTGTAATTTGTGTGTGGGGGAGAGTGAAGCTAAAAGCACTAGCTCACCAGAAGTGTGGGAGTCGATTATGGTCCCAAGTACCCAAATGCATCACTATCAGTTGCCATCATCAAATACTTAGGCTAATGTCACTAGTTTCATGCAGCCACATGGCATTGGCCCTCTACAGTGCAGCCTCATGCACCCAACGGAGCCCCAGGTGCTCTGCAGGCTTCATCATGCACATAGCCAGGATCCCAAATTCACATCCCTCCTCCACAGGGAGCCAGGACCCAGTGGAGTTGTCCAGGTCCAACAGCATTTGCAAGTGTCAAGTTCACAAGAAGCAATCCTTGCCCAGCTAGCTGACAACAAAGGAGACAAAGACAGTAAGCATGACACACACCCACACACACTCCCACTTCTCAGGAAGGATCATCTCCATACCACAAAACACAAAAGAGTAAGAGAAGGAGGGAAGGAGGGAAGGAGGAGGAAAGAGGAAGGAAGGAAGGAAGGAAGGAAGGAAGGAAGGAAGGAAGGAAGGAAGGAAGGAAGGAAGGAAGGAAGGAAGC